AACAAGTGCYTTCTACCTATGTCACAATGTTTATATTGTTCTACAGAAATGCACAGAATTMCTGCTTATACAACAAAAGAAGAGTTTTTGTTTCTAGGACACTATTTCACCCAGTTTTGTTAAGATGAGCTTGGTAGGGCTAACTTTCTAGACTCCCTTAGGAAATAATACTGCAAAATGTTTGTAAAATGACTTATGGAAGACTAAAATTACCATGAATTAGTTCTCTAGTTAACTAAGATGGCATTAAGTCCATCATCAAGGAGCCAAATTAATTAAAAACTTAAAGAGAAGTTATAAAAAACATTCCTACTAGTGCTGTCTACTAAAGGTGCAATACACAAAAAACTCCAAACCTGTCACTGAAAATGGTTTTATTATTCTTTCTTAAAGGTAACACTTCCTTAAGACACAGCAATCCAAGGGATACTCACTTTCTTTATCCTCCAAAGTTTACATCAATGTTGTCCATTAACAGCATCAAATAGAAATACAAAGATTATTATTTCAGAAATACCATAACAAGTTTATCAGCAACTTAGCTCCAGGATCCACAACTACACAGCAAATACACATTCTCTAAAATACACTTCTCATTTTTATAAAACGGAACCTAAAAAGGAATCAAGCTACCACAMATGATCTGTAGCTTGTTGCATATTTACTAACAGTAATGAATTGATACATTGTAATACAATTTATGTGGTAGACAAAGTGGTTTCTTCACTTGTCTGAAACAAATGTTGGTGCAAATTTCTATCACAGACTATTTTCTTGAATTTAAAAACCAACCATTTAGAATAATACAAATGAAAGGGAAAAAATGTTTAGCGGATGGAGGAAATCATGATTTCTATACAAATATTCCCAGCACCAGGCGCTTGGACCACAATGTTTGTTTTAATTGATGCAGAGTGAGTCAGGAAAGAAAAATAATTGTTTTCTTCCTGCAGTATTTCAAAGTTTTTAGTATTTTTATTAGCATTACACACAGTCATGGACCTACTGACATTACTGCTGCATTGATGGGCTTCTTGCATACAATGCATGGCAGACAAAATATGCAAAACTCAGCCAAAGACAGAGCAGAGATCACATCCCCTAAATCCAGCGAGTACTTAAGATAACAAGCTGATTCTATAATGCTTTTAGGTTCCAGATTAGAATCATGATTGTATGTGATGCTTTCTTTCTGCCATTTCACATATAGGATTTAATATTTTTATCACCAAAAACACTCTAAACTTCAAACTCTCATGTCTTTGCACAAGACATCTGTGTTGCTCTTAGATTTATCTTGTTTCTTTTCACTGATTCTAAAGAAAACACAGAACCATGAGTTCAGACTTCCAAACATAGTTCTCAAACATTAAAAAAATGATCCTTGTAAACTCTTAGGACTAAAGAAAAAACAGTCTTTAAATTGCTATCGATATCTAGCCCGTATATATGTGGTTTTACAACTTTATCTTTTTACATGCTATTTGGTTGAAAACTTTCCAGTCAAGTGTTTAATTAATCCATTGCCCTCTTAGCTACTTATTATTTTATCAACCAGCATTAAAAAAAAAAAAAAAAAAATTGTCACATCAGAGCTGCATCTGCCCTGGGAGGCCTAGGTTTGAAAGGAGTTTGTTTCCAAACATCCTGCTCACTCCCACACCTGTTACCACTGCACAGCAGCYGAGATCAGCTACAGCCTCTTAGCTGGGATGCTCAGCAGTAACAATGGCAGTAACCATCTGTGATCTTACATGATCTTACTTTTTGTACAATATTTAGAGTATTTCATTTTTATTTGGTTTTCCTCCTAAGTCATGAGTTAGGCATCATTGCATTACATAAAGGCATTATTGCAAGTGCAGAGCATTCACTTAAAAAAAAAACAAAACAAAAACACACCTTAAACAAAGCAAAACAAAAAACCCAATCCACAACCAAACAGAAAACCCCCAAAACAAAAAAAATTAATATTATGTTTAGAATTTACATGTACTTTAAAACTTTCCATTGCTATGGACAGATTCCCACTTCCCTCTATTTCCAATACAAATTGTTTTGATAACAATGATATTTTCAGTTATATTTTTCTGGTGTTGACAGAGGGAAGAAAGGAGAGGCCACATGTCACTTGGCTGGCACTTTGCCAGCTGCATCCCAGGAAACCTAAATCCAATTCTCAATTTAGCACACATACTCACTAAGGCAGGCAATTTGGATGTTCTTTACCCAGCCCTCTCACTTACACACACAAAACAAAATGAACACATGAAGGGTTGCAATGACAAAATCCAAGATCTGCTTCTGTACCAAAATACATCCCTTAAGTGGAAATGACCGAAAAATACAGCACTTGATGCTCTAGAAGGTTAAGCACCTCTGCTTTACTACAACCAATTAAAAATAAATAGCCATAAAAGTGCAGATACTACYGTAGGGTAATAAATTAGACTTTATCAGTGACAGTGGTGCACATTACAAACTTCAAACTCATTCCTTGTTCTAATCCATCAGAAACTTCCTGGCTTTAACAGGCTATAAACAGCAGAAGCTTTGAAGTCCGAGGATTAGGATCACTAATAGACAGACTGAACGAGAGACTGGCTGAAGAGCCAAGTGGAATGCCCTGCATGGACCTGGAATAAAACAAGTTAATTTAATCAAACTGACCTCTCTCTAGCCATAGGCCAAGAGATTACAATGGTTGTAACAGCAATAAAGGGACAAGGGACACTAAAAACAGTTATTTGCTTCAATGCAGTGCTTAGGCTAATGCAAGGACAAAACTGCTTATGCTTTCAAATGAGCTCTCAAGTCCACAATCCTAAGGTCTATAGGCAAAGGCTTTTTTTTTAACTAGTTTATGACTTAGCGGCAGTAGAAGCAGAAAAAAATTAAACACACTTTAATTTTCAAGATTAATACAATGATTGAAAAGGTTATTGTAATGATCTATTTGCTTCAACTCTCCTGTATCTCAAACTCACTTGAAGGAAACGTGGAAACAATTCGTTTGTGTTAAATCCACCCACATTCAGTAATCACATAACTGTATATATCACTAAGCCTTTTTTGCTATAGAAAATAATTGCTTACTGCAAAAATTCCAGTTGCTGCCAATTTACACACAACAATTTTTATTCTAAAGGGCTACAAAACATTTAAAAAATTACTAAACCTGAGGTATTTAGCACAGAAGTAATAAAGGACTCTTTTCAAAGCAAACAATAAAGCTCCCCTGCTTCAAACTGGAGCAAGCTGCCAAAATGGCAAATGAGTCAAGTTAATGGTAGTAATAGCTTGGCTCTGAGAAGCTCTTGGGAGATGGTAAATTGTGACAAGTGATCAGGGATTATTTTCTACAGTGTATCTTACTGCTGTGCAGAATAACTAACCCTGAAGAGTAGAACTAAAGCAGCTGAAGCCTCTGAAAAGTGAATTATAAAGTGAAATCCTAACAACACACTTMATTCACTATAGGAATGACAGAGGAATCCATAATACAGCATTTTTTGAACAKGTATTCCTAGAAGGCAACATTTCTTGTCTCACAAAATCCCCACATTTTCAGAGAATGACATATCCATACATACAGAACACAGGAATTAGGCTCATAYACAGCTACTGTATCTACAACATTTAATCCTGAATCAGAAAAGGGGCTTTAATTGCCTAGCACAATGCTCAGGATTTTAGTAGTGGTGTTCAGAACTTGAAGGTCACTCTAGGGAATGGTAAGCATGGAAATAAAATGAGCAGCATTGGAGAATCTGTCTGGCACAGGAAAGGATTACCAAAGTCCAAGCCTAGTTAGCTTCTTTAACATGGGGCAAGACCTCCCATTTTCKCCAAGGTGATTTCATAATGCAATTYACTACTCATGACCTATGTTTCCAACTGAAGACCTGGGAGAAGGTTAGGAGCAGCCTGGTCTCATGAGGCAGGCAGCCTGGGGATGGGAAAGAAGGGAGTTGGCTGGACACAGAGCAGCCCATGGAACGTGCAGTGACAATGCATGGAAAAGAGTAAAAAAAAAACATGGGATAAGGATCTTGGGTTTGAAAATGTAGGCATCAAGCTGTGAGGACTGGGCAGCCTGAGTCTGAAGTCCTGGCACAATGGGATACAGTACAGCAGTATGCCAGGCTGGCAAAGCACATCTCAGCTACTGAATATTAAACAAATAATTGAGAGATTTAAAGCACTGAATTCACACTGGAGTCATTAATATGCCATTGAAACCAAACCTTCTTCCAAAAATCTACACATTTAAATAACTTGGGAAAATGCCTGTGAATGTGTTCTCCTTTTAAAATAACAACAAATTAAAAAACCATTTAATAACCATGCAGATGACACCAGACACACTCAAATATTATAAAGAGCAGCACAGTTTGTCATTTRTGTTGGGAAGAGAAATATTTTAGAAAAGACACGTATTGTCTTACTGGGCAAGCATTAGCATTCTCAYAAGATATTCTAGTGAAATGGAAACTGCATTTTGGACACCCAAAATGTCCCAAGTTTTCATTTCATCAATCAAAATAGTCACTTATTTATAGCTCCAAGCATTCAAACTACTTTGTTGCTTTGAACCACATTTGCTCTAGAAACATTCCAGTAGCAGTAATACCATGAGAGACTGTCTAAAGAGAAACAAAGCCCACTATTGACAGATCAAAACCAGGCCTCTCTCCTTACTACTCCCCCCAAAAACGTTAAGGACAGAAATGTTTCTCTAAAACTGTATTTGTAACTTTTGATTCAGAACTTAGAAGCASAACCACTGGTAGGCTTTTTTTCTTGTCATCTACTTTGGCTTCTATTATTTAAATTCCAAACACATTGCCACAAAAACCCCAAACTGTTTATTTTGAAAGAACCATGAAAAACTTCTTGCATATAAATGGTCTAGAAGAGAGGACATTCTGTAGCAAGTGTCAATAGACATGCTATGCCCAGTTTCACCTTCCTCCACCACCCCTCCCATGGCTTCTTACCTTCTGGTGGATTCTTATTCTGGTTGTTCCAGACTACCAACAATTTGGATAGACTAGGCACTTTAGACACCTCTGTGATGACTCGGAAAAGGCTCTCCACCCGGTCATAGGTCAGAACTATGGCTGTGAAACCTTGGGACTGAGGTGGGATCAGTGGAAGGAAGAGTGGGTTGCTCACACTGCTCCATTTCTGTGAAGGAAAGCAAGAAAACAGCAAAACAATTTGATTAAAGTGAATGATCACAATAGGGAGTAATTCATATAGCCAGGCCCTAACCATCAGATTTGTAATTTGCTCAGATCAAGCAGGCTGACTCTTCAATTCTGACTTCAGCAATTTCTCAAAACCTTTATTCCAATCTCTTCCTTACTTCATTTTTGTTTTTTTGTCTAGCTGTAATGCTGCAAACAAATAGAGGTTAAGGTAAAAAGTAAATTGGAAGAGGCAGATTTGTGGAGAAGAAAAACCATGGTGAATTGAACCCAGCTAGCATGGCTCAATTCTCATTTGCTAATCACTATTTCAAGACATTTATATGTATAGTCAGGACTCAATAAACAAAGAGAAACTTAATTAGCACTACAGTTTCAGAGTGAAAAAGTGTTAACAACAACAAAACCAAAGCAACAAAACGATAAACTTGACATAAAATGTGCACCCAAGAAAAAAGGGAAAAGCAGGTGTGAAGAGGAATAACTAGCTTCCACAAAGTTTGTTCAATGGTGGAAACACCTATTACATTAAAAAAAACCCAAACAAAAARCATGAGATGCAAAGATGAATTTCAGAGAGTWATCTGCTCCTTGTGAATTTTAACTAAGGCATCCCCTTCAAGACTTTAAAGGTCTTACTTCAATACACTGTCAGCATAGGGAAGCCTTCCCAGATGGCAAAAGACAAGACAGACAACTAAATTCCCACTGAATGTGCCAACCTCCTTTGGAGCTGACAACATGGGGGAGGAAGCAGTGAAAGGACCATTTCACAAGCATGAAAGCACCAGCATTTTAGTCTCAATTTTTCCATTCCGACTGACGTTCCAAGCAGGGGTTGGACAGAGAAGCAAAGGGAAAAACCAAAGCCTCTGGGACAAGGTGAAAAGGGGATTTGGGAAAACAGAAACTGAGCAATGCTGTTTTGCAAGGACCTTTTGAATCCTAGCCTGTAAAAACTATGAACACTTTAAAAGGCTAGTAACTGCCAGCAGTTTACAGAAATACTGCGAAATTCTCCAGCTAAACTGAYACCATAAGCCTGCCTGTATCAGGAGGAAAGCATGTTTCATAGATTCAGAGTTACCAGGTCATATTTGTAGAATGTAAATGTTGAAATTTTCAGTTTYCTTATTCAGTCTTCAGGATACTTTATATACCAAAAAATCAATCACATGTTTAATGGTTAGACACCTCCAACTCAAATGACTTCAAGGATGAGGAGAATAAAGAGCCTATTTACTCAAAGACATCGTAACATTTTGATCATTTTGGTAAAGGAGAAAAAAATATGACGTGATTATGATTTCCTTCTATGAACAAATCAAAACTGAAGAGAGGATAAATATGTGAGGAAGAAAAGTTAAGCACAGCATYGGCACACTCTTTTGYCCAGGATGGTCTAAAGGTATGTTCYAGGCAAGGATCTGTYAGTAGGAGTAMTATGTTTTAGTACACTTCTTGAAATAGATGGAAAAACAAACTGGCCTTCAGCTACACACACTTTATTGGATCTGGTAAAAGCAGTATTCATCTTACTGTTTGTGAGTATCCTAATGTAAAACACAATGTGCTCATTTTTACCAAAAGAAACAATAGGATAATGTAGAAATAGTAGYGGCACAATATGGAACTTTGGCTCATGAAAGGGACATGGCTACCTGTAAAACCACATTCAGTAATTCAGAAAATAYATATCCATTACTTAAGCAACTGATACATGCAGAGACAAATCTGCTTTGAGATTATTACCTTTTCTACAATTAAAGCTTTTGTAAATACTTTGCTAGTTGTAGAAGATGACTGGTGGCAGATGGGGATAGCCCTCTGATTTTGCTGCAGCTTCAGTAATTCCTACAGCAAATCACTACCTAAGYGTTACCAGAGCATAATCCACCTCATTAAAGCTCTACTACAGACTTGWTTCCACAAAACCCCCACCCCAAGACTGCTTTTTTCCAAATGACCCTGGTAATGTCAAGCAGCTTCTTAACACAACTCTCAGAAACCCCTTTTCATTAATACTCGAAACAGAGGTTTAACATCAAAATCAGAGTGCCAAGAAAATAYTATGTTTCTGCCTTACAAAAAAAAAACAAAACTGGTAGACATCTGCAGACAATGTTCTATTTATTACTTAGGGGTAAGAATTGCTACCTAGATTAATAGCTCCCATTTGAAGTTTTTCTAGAAACTTTTTCTCTCTGTACACAGCACTTCCTAACAAATTGGTTGCTATAAYACCCTTTGAAAAGGATTATTCCTTTTCCATAATCTGAGACTATTTTAGGTTTTTACAGAAATAAATACATCATGCATATATGAGCAAGCACATGCATAGGTACCTATAATAGTAATGAATTTCTCTTATAAACTTAAATTTTAGTTTCCTTAAATCCCAACTTCTACTACTTTCAGAAAKGCATGAAAATTCTCCCCTGCTGGTCATAACTTAGAAAAAATAAGGCAACTTTTAAAGAGGTTTTGCTCCTGCACCTACTAAAGGATGATGGAGGGAGGGAAAAGCCTATAGACACACACTAATGGATGGGAGAACCATGCCTCTCATTTGAGAAAAACATTTCAAAAAGGCAATTAAGCATCTCTCAAGTGCCATTAAGAGCCAACCCCCTGCCGCCTGCCTGAAGAGTGTGTCTACAGTCTGAGACCTATTGACCCCACTTTCTGCAGGAAATCAGGCAAATTCAAGCCTCCATAATTTGCTAAAGTATTCCAGATTTCTGCTTGGGAAAAGCAAACCATACAGGCAATTAATACAACAGCAACCTAATTAAATCTCCATTATGGCAGCAAAGCATGAAATGGCTAATGACATAGGGATGGGTTCTCCCAGTCACTGCTCAACCAAGTGAGGAAGGCACATTTGCTCCATTCCCATCTTTATTAACATTCTCGATGGAAATTCACAGAAACTTTCRCTCTCAAAGAGGAGAGCAAACAGCAACAGTATGGACTGATCATCAATCACTTTTCTTTAACAAAGTGCTGATAAGACAACTATGGATAAGACAACCCCTCACTATCGCCATCTCAGCTAATATCATTAGACATGCCAGGATAATTAATGCAAGATTAATAGGTTTCTTGCTGTGAATCATTTTTATGGGTAAAAAGGATCAAATTCAAGTGTTAGTTTCCTAAGAGTAATTCCATGTCACTTAAGTCTCTCAGACTCAGTTGTCTGAGAGCTCTTTGCAGTTCATCTGAAAATCCAAAGTACCACGAGTGATAGTGAGATCTTTGGAATAGCCTGAAGCTGGAAGAGAGAAGTCACAAATGGTTATGTATGCACATAAGGATTCAGACTGCTGCAGCTGTCTTGTGCATGCTTTCTACAAGTGTGCATGTGTAATAATTCTTTAGAAACAAGGCACCTTCCTTTTCTACAGCTAGATCAAATATTGTCCTCCCTCTTGGTCATTAAAAACAACCTAATTCTACTTTAGGAAAAAAAAATACATTAAGGACAAGGTATSAAGAGAGCTGAATTCTCATTATGTGGGAGGCTTCAGGCTGGACTTGATGTGGAGTCTTCAGGTTCAACTTAGCAGAGAAGTKTGTAACAGACCTTTCTTAGCAGGGTACAGAAGGAAGACAGGTGGGAGTTTCAGGACATCAGTGAACACAAATGGACTGAGAAATGGGCAGTTCTTATATTTAAATGCTACAGAGCCTCAAAGATACTGGCAAAATATCAGGACAACTAGGACTCAGTCCTACCCCAAAACTTCTTAATTGGTTGTTCACCATTGAAAGAGACTTGAAGAAAGGTTCGGTCGAGACACCAGAAACGACACCACAAAATGGTCTCTGGGAAAACAAGGTTGTGTAAGATCTTCCACATTAAAGAAGAATCAAGAACATCCCAGCTATCATTTAGTAGGAAAATTCAGCAACAGCACTTAAGAATGAAATTTCATTGCTCCCATAAACAAGACAGTGAGCTTTCCTCCCTGTGCATTTTATTTTCAATACCTAGCCTGCTTGTTGTAAACTATTATTAGTGAAACCACATAGTCCGAACAACATCTCACTGTCTTTTAAAAGCACAGGGGTAAGGCCAGCAGTGTGTTGAACTTAGTAGTTAAGCAGCTCTTCTATGCATCTAAGCAAAGCAGCGATRTAGCCCCTGCCCCTGTTGGTCAAGGCTTTCTAAGCTGGGTTTCTCTTAATATCAATCTAACCTCAATGTGGTTTCAATTATGAATTACSAGACCAAAAAAAGCCTTGATTTATTCTATTTTTTTCCAATTATTTATGGTAAGTTTCTATTCAATACTTTGAGAAAGTATTTCATCATGCTTCCCATCCTCAAGTGGTCACAGGGCAAAACCAAAGGAATTAACCCTCTCTACTTGTCCAGAGCCAACCATAGTGCTTATACTCAACAGAATCCGAAATCAAGTTGCAGTAGCCACCTTTTAATGTTCTAATGAAGATCATAAACCCTCCTCCAGAAAAAAAAATTAGCCACAAGACAGAAATTTCTATCTACTGTAGAATAATCCACTGTGTAAGAAAAAAATCCTAACCTCTAGGCAGGTAAATTAAAGAAGCACTGTTAAATAATGTTTCACACTTACATAAAAACACCAATATTTACAGCTAATACATGTGGGATATTGAACCTGTCCATAACATCAACACCAAAAAAAAAAAAAAAATCAATAAACTGAAATTTATTTACTGTAAAAAATAATACCCCTATTCTAACAATAAATAAAGCAATGTTTAATCCATCTGATTCAAACCATCACACAAGTAGCTGGAAAATACAGCAAGAATAGACAACTAATATTGTTTGATGGAAAAAAACACCAGATGTGCACCRCGCAGGAAAGTGCTAGCTTGTTCTCATTTACAGTGAAACAAAAGTGTATGTAATATTTGCTTAATGCTTTGAAGATGACAAATGGTACTACAATGGAGGTATAGTTATAACAGTAGCATTATCTGTAAACTGAGGACTATAAAATACTAGTCAAAGAGGTTAGGAATAGTTTAATTTTTTAATAAGTGTCAAGTGCCTAGCAATTGGCAGAATGCACAAAGTATTCTGYAAATTAACATCCTACTTAGGCTTTGCTAAATGAATAGCACAAAGATAATTTTGCAATTTTAGTTTAAACCAAATGATGGTGCTGTTTTCTGCCTCACTGGAAGAAATGGAATCTGGTATGTTTATTGTTCGCATACTGATATTCTCAAGTGATTATTAAACTCTGGTCTGTATCATCCAAGGTCAGAGCTCAAAAGCAGCCCCTGACAAAAGAAGCCCTCTAATGTTTCATCGATCTACATTATAAACAGGCCTGAAAGAATTTCAACAAAAGCAGCTGAAGAATTCTGGAAAAACCCTGTCTTACTCACTTTTCAGAAACCCATGTATGTTAGTGAGGTATGAGACAAAGAGGAGAATTTAAACAATCTACAACCAAGTATAAGTGAGGAAGTAATTTACCTCTATTAGAGTATAACAAAGTACTTAATTGAAGGTAACAGATCACATCTCAAACCCAAGTCATTACTTCTAATCCAGCCCAAACTGGTAATCATCAAAATGCACATCGCTGAATCGGTCATTTTCTGGCTTACTTGGACGTAACTGATTGCCTCTGCCTAATGGATGATGGTTGGGCCAAAAAATACAAAAGACATTAAACTCACATGTTTTCAGCAAAAGACTGCCTGACAGAATAAGGACTCAAGTGATTCAGCAATGAATTTCAGGCCTCAAAAGTATAATTTGCTCCTCTTCATTAAAAGGAAGAAATATAGTGCATTTTTATTCAAAGTATTATTCCATAATGTATTAGGATGTTATATGCTACTAGTCTTCCATTTCCTCAATAGGACAGTGAACAAGTTGAAAATTAATCCACTTTATTTTTTTCTGTAGGAAGGCCAACAAGCATTAGCCCATAAAAACACATAAAACTGCTTGGATCACTTCTCCAGTGCAATGTACTATATGTGGAATTAAGTGTATATGCATCTATCTTCCGAGTACCTTATACTCCCTCCTGGAAAAAYATCCTCCTGCACCACTGCTGGATCCACACTGTGATGAAGATACTCAGGCAACAGTCTTACTAATATTTTGAGCCAATATAAGCCAAACTAATGCCAAGAAAAGCACTTTTCCAGCCACCCAGTCCCTCCCTTGAACACATCCCCACTCTCTTTTTTTTTTTTCGTTTTGCTTGGTTTTATATGAGGAACATTATTTTGGCTAATTTACCACAAGCGAAATAGAAAAATAAAAAAGAATGTAGCACATGAAAAAAGAAACTCATCCAGCTGCAGAAGACAGCAGGACTGCTTCTTTGGGCAGCAGTACTTACTGTGGTGGTTTAAAGTGTTTGGGAAACTATAAATTCAGCACAGGATAGGCTGATGTTTCTTTGTGTTGAGACTCGAGAARTATCTATGGAACAGGAATAAAGCTCATCCCTGTGCAGATCTAGCCATAGGTATGCCTCTCTAATCATTTGCATGCTGACTGTACAAGGTAACAGCATTCCCCTCAGACACAAAAATCAATGCAATTTTGCAATAAAAACAATGTTAGAATGTTAGTACTATTATGCTTGTTAATATGTCTTAATTCCTATTTTGAAGTATCTGAGCTAAAAAAAAAAAGCAAAGAGAAGCCTACCAATCTTACTTTGCAAGTGACATCAAACTTGGGGCAGCCTTTTGTGAAAGATGCAGCTTTTTCCTCAGACATGCTGCTGTTATAAACTAACTTAATTGAATATTTGAGGCCTCTAAACATACTTATGTGCTGCAATTTGCTAAGCGTTTGCTACCTCAAAATAGAATCTATTCTACTATAATGTAATCAAAATATTAAATGGTAGAACAACACTAAAACTTAGAAAATAAGACTGAAATCAGATGATGGATTGGATTCTGGACGCAAATACATGAGGCTACAATAGTTCAACAAAATGCAAAGYATAATGTGCATCTTGGAGAGTTACCAGCTATTCTAATTGTCAAAGTAGAAATATTGGTTTAAAATGCTTTATCTAACACCTGAAGCAGTTGCAAAAATTGAGCAGCACAATTAGTAACCATTTTACCAAACCTTTTCTTTTACCTCTCAGGGTCCTAGTGACTTACCAAGCAAAATTAACCCCTATTAGCACACACAAAAAGCTCCCCACCTTAAGTCAAGGAGGCAGGAAGGTAAGCAACCATGGCCATGGGTTCTATCTTAGTATCCTTCTGTGTATAATGATCTTGCACAGCAAGCCCTTCTTTCTGTTAGAAAAGTGAATCTGTCCTAGAAATTAAGCTCATAAAACCCTTAAAGCTGGCATTTTCCTATATAGATATTCCATAGGCAAACCTGGGCTCTCATTTTTAAAACCTCACTATTCAGAGCACAGGGATCTGAACTCTGAACTGAACAGTTTTGTACTGATTAAAGAAATCTCTGCTAATTTGAGTCAGCCCTTAAAGCAGTGATTGCACCTCTGCACCTCTTGTTAATGTGCCTATAGCTTTTACATATTCCTTCTGCACCTTTGAGTTCCTATCAAAACCACGTAACAGGAACAAGAGCACAGAGAAGAACATTGCACTTAACCCTGCTGGCCATAACATGACATGGAACAAGTAGAGCTTAAGGACTGGGTGTTGAGTTGGCTGAGTTTAAAGGCAGAATACACATGGCAAGTTCTGGAGATTAGTTCTGGCCAGTAACATAAGAATTTATGGCACCCAGTTACTCACACTTTTCACTGTGGTTTTAATGTTAACTCACAGGTGCTCATTTTGACAGTTAGCTATATCCTGGCCCTGAGGCTGACCTGAAATAATTTTCTTTAAAAGCTTTAGYGATGAAGTTTGTTTAGACAAGTATATAGAAATTTTCTTGTAAACAAGAAGCACATTACATTTACTTTGTCTTCTTATCAAAGTCAGAGGGTATGCCATTTTCTGCTGCCTTAAACATACATATGTAATTCCTTTCCAGCTATAATGTTTCATCCAGGCTTCCTAGACCTTGTAACAGTGCTATAAGTAGATATTAGGCAGGAGCTAGATAAGACTCAGACTCAAGTGGATTATTACTCCCTGACAAGCAGGCAACTTTGTAACTCTGACTTGTAGATTTATTTTTCAAAAAAAGTATAGGAGAGAACCCAGGAGAAGACGTTTTTACATTCCCTTTAAAGACTTAATGATGCTTAAAGGATTTTCTTAATTTCACTGAGTATGTTTAARGATGCTTGGTTTTGCTGGCATGATTGTAAAGGCATTAAGATATTGTGATTCCCATCTTGTGGAGCACATACTTGTGCAGATTAAATTCTTCCTTAAATACTGACAAGGGCCACATTTCCTCTCCAAGAAATGACAACAGGAAATTATTAATGCCTTTGGCTAGGCAATGGAAACTCAGCTTCTGAAGCACAGCAATGAGCTTCTAATCTTCATCAGCAATTCCATTGGCCTGAAGATTACACACTCTATTCCTGAGTACTCCTAYACAGCTTTCTCTAAACTATCATAAAGCAAGACAGTTAACAAGTTTAGTTTTATTAGTAAAACAAAACTGTTTTTTATAATTTGACACAAAGAAAATTAACTGATTAYGAGTGAAAATCATCTACAGGGTTCTTATATGGTAAAAAATCACAACCAGCTGCTTGGTGCAGGAGGTTAATTAATACTGCCCTGKGTTTTCTTAACAGAAGTGAGTTGAACCAGTGAAACTTTAAATTAAACCAAAAATAAAAAAAAGGGGAAAAAAACCCAGCAAAAATTTGGTCATCAGTTTCTGTATAAAAGAAATTGTTAAGAAATACCATGGAGAAAATTGTAGGCATAGGAACAATTAGCTATTTCAACAGAATTATATGAAAGCTCCTTGCAGATTGTTTGAGRTCTTCAGCATTTCCACGATTTTCCCTGCAGTCATAGAGACTGTGTCCAGATACATACAGTGCTCCAAATTCTCTCTAAATTCAACAGAAATAAAGAAGTATGTGTATGTGCATGAAGGGGGAAAATTATATATATATATATATATATATATAAACAAGGAAGCAATTTAATGTGTGTGATAGCAAAAGTTTAAAGTTCTCATCTTAGTGCCAGGACATAAAATGAACTGCTAGGTATTTTGCCAGTTGTCATAAAATATATTAGCTTCATCTGTGCAAGTTACCAGCACAACACATACACATACAAACYCACATACACAGAATTATTGCCAAATTTTATAGCACATACCTTTTATAYGAGGAAAAAAACCCCAACAAATCCACAATTTGTTTTATGAGTAAATCAAACGAATTAACTTACCACAGCTGGGGGATCATTCCATTCTTCATAAGAAATGGCAGCATATGGGTAAATTCTATCATTGATAATCTGAAGAGTAGCGAGAGCAATTGCTTTCATTGATCGAAAATATGCTTCCCAGAACCACCTTGCCTGTAAAGAGAATAAAATTCACTTTCACATTGTGCATGGCAAGCCAAAAATAGCACTGGATCTGCACAATCTRTTTCATGCAGTCAACATGTCAGGTGGAAATTAAATTAGGAGGCATGTTTATTGTAGATAGTTATTTCTATAAAACCTGAAGGCTTCWAACTCAACTCCACCCTCTGAAAGGACTCACAGCCAATAAAAAGAAGCAGAAGTATTATTTCACAAGTGATTAAACAGAATGAGAATATTTGAAAAAAAGAAGTATTTTCACATTTTTATCATATGTTTTCCTCCTGAAAAATGTCAAAAGCAGTTTGATCATAGAACAAATAAATTGCTGTTATACKCCATTGTTTTTCCAAGGCAAAGGAATCCACAGAGCCATTAAATAAAATAAAAGCATTCTGCCTAAAAGTTGGAATTTAGAAGTCACTTTTTAACATCAATATTAGAGACACCTGATCARACAGCAAATTTCTGTAGTCAGAACCCTACCAGACTAATACCTTCCCAAGTCTTCCAGAAAACCTAATATTATTTATACAAGTAAATGATTATGATTTTCACATAAAAGTACATGTACATGCCAATTTATTACAATCTACGCTAATTTATAGCACTGTGTAAAACTGCTGAAATGAAGCATGAGATGGTTAAACAGTGCTCTGAATTTCACAGAGTAAAACTAAGGTCCTAAGTAAAACTAAGGTACAAGTTTTCATCTTGTCCCAGTTTCTGTGTAAGACAAATGCTAGAAGAAAAGCACGGGTTTGGAAACTAAAATGCTGACTTTCTGACTCCCTGTTAATAGATACACCTTTTCAATCCCTAGAACTATCAAATGATTCTGCAGGTCCCATCCAACCCAGAAGGAAACATGCTTAACCAAAACACGTATTTCAAGAATTCTGGCACAAAAGGTAAGTTTTTTTTTTATTCTTATTTTTCTCCAGGAAACTGCAGTGCCTTGAACTGTCCARAAAGTAATTTCATTTGCAATCTCCCTATGCTTAATTACCAACTACCAGAGTATGTGTTTGCACCTAGGAGGTAGAATAATTAAAACTAATGCATTTTCTCATTAATTGGAACCTTTAGAAGCTTTCAGAGTCAGAATACAACAGAAGATAACACACAAATTTGGGCAAGTGCTATTTTACCCTTGCTACAGATTTCTTAAGTAGCAAAAAGCCCATACAGAGAAGCCAGTTCTAATAATAAGCTATGAAAATATTAAATAATATTATTTACCTTGTTTTGTTACTGCATTATTTACCATAATTACAGAAGGCATACCAAGATTCTGGAGGTACAGATCTTAAGATGAACCAAAAATAACTCTTGTTTATCTGTTGTCAACAAATGCCAACAACTCCCACTCTGCAGGTCAGTACTTTTTAACAGAAGACACATAGTGATTCCTGCATACACTCTTCCTTTGGGATATTCCTAGGCTAAATAACTGTGTACAGGCAASATTATAAGCACAAACTTGCACATATTCATGGTTATGTTACTCTGTTTTTTACGGCGAGTATAAGATATGGCATTTAGAACTATGTTTCTGTCAAATCACTGGCCCTAAAACTCTGTGAGTAAAAAATAAAATCTGTGTAACAGATCCTGCAGAATATTTCTGTAAATGTTTAAGTTGAAAAAAATTHATGTTACAATTAAGAAAAACAAACTAGAAAAGAGATGAGTGCCCTCTGATTACCAAGAACACAGATCAACATTACTACCACATCCAAGTGTAAAAGCAGAAGAACAATATAAACAGGTCAAAGTAAATAAAAAGACACTAAATAAAGCAAACACCACATGCTAAGCAAAAGCATTAGTATTTTTTTCCTCATGCCCATTTCTTAAGGAAAATGTATTATCCAGAATTCTGCAGCAACCTATCTAAAAAGAAAACTAGAAGCAGATAAGAATAAAAATGGACTGGAACAGCTAACTTCTCTCTTCAAGCATCCTAAATAAACAGGAGTAAGAACACAGATTTCAAATTTTATTTTCATGGACAACAGTGTAGAAAAATTGCCATAGGCAGCACTAAGTAGGAAGGGGAAACTACTTTATGTAGCCTTTTAACATGTGACTTTATAAGCAATTAAGTAACTATTAATAGTGTTAAATACAGGATTATGTATTCCATTGTTATTMAATGACAGCATTCCTATACCGTTCTAAGATTTTTTTATTAATACTACAATATCAATYATTATCTAGCTTCATAAAAGTCAAAGATGGTTTTCTTCCTTCAGCAGCTTTCTTCCTAGAATGGATCTGATCTAGCTTCTCTTTGCTTAAAGAATGCTTGTAATGCCTGGCAAGATTACACCTTTATACCAGAAGCAAATCTGGAGAAGAGGGCAGAGGGAATTTATGTTTTATAGACTAATATTTATGTAATTAATGTTTTCTAAAGAGCCATAAAATGTTCCCACAGTTGGYTGTAATATTTTTGGAGTTGTGTTTCTTTAAGGCAGAACTCAAAACCTTCTAAGGGGATTTGAAGTCCCCAAACAGATGTTTCAGCGTCTCATTACTTCCTCCCCACCTTGTTTGCTTTTATAAAGCAGAACTGATTAACATGACTTGCTAGTGTGTGCTGCTCCGCATGCTGAGTTACCAAATATTTTGGGAAAGTTTTCTGTTGGGAAGATGTACATTGATTTMATTTGAAATGTATTTTATACTCGGTGAGGTTGAAAAGCTTATGTTGGAATGTAAGAAATGGAAGGGATAAAAATCCCATGAAGACATTTGTGATACAGAAGAGAGTTACAACAAAAGAAAAAGGCTTCTGTTCCAGACTCCTATGTTAGCTTTCTTATTATTCTTACATAGCTTTACTGAGCTGTCTGTTTCTCTTTTCCATATCTATGAATCCCGAAAGCTTAAGAGTAACTCCAATACATTAAGCAAYGTTTCTAAGGTATGGTAATTGTAATGCATTAATTAGAGCTACCTGAATGCCTTTCAGGATCTTGAAATAAACCAACTGTAAGCTCAGACCTCAGCTTTCACATAGCACTAATTATACACAGACTACAGCTAAAATGAAGTCAGACTTCTCCTTTCAATTTGAACTGAAATTAGCTTCTAGTATTCAAGAAATCTGATGAGGCTTCCAGATTTTTCTAAGGAAAAACACTGTATAGACCAAAGACTKGTAGAGAATGCTAACTGTATACACCTAAACATTGCTTAGGCCACAGGCAACCTAGGTGGTAAAAAGAGATCAAACACTTTGAAGTTTGCACAAATCTGTATAACTGCCAAGACAACACAGATCAATGTACATTAACCTGCATGGCTTACAGGGAATTGAAAACAGAAAGAAGAAATATAATTTCTCTTCTTCTAAATTTCTAGTTTTCTTCTAAATTTCTGGATAAACCAAAACTCTAGGATAGGTCYAAAATGAAAGACAGCAAAGCATTACCTTCTATAACAGTTTTACCAACATTTTGAAGCATCAAATGTAGCACACTGTATAACTTGACTGACTGACAATGAGAAATATATTACATTATTGGGTCACCCAATGGGTTGGAAGTGTGTGGAAATTCTCATTAGACAACAGATTGCCCATGAAATTGATTCACCTGAATTCAATTTCTCCAGTAAATTTAATGAAGTCATGACAACTTCATTATGGAAGCCAAAGACTGAAGGAACTGGAAACCAAATTCTCTCCTCTCACCAACCAGTGAGCTCTGCAGACCAGGGTCACAAACACAGGCATGTCAGTAGGTAGTGTTAAGCTGTTGCCCTTCCTTTCTTTCTTCCTCCTGCCCAACTTTCAAATGCTGTATCCTCGTTAGATCAGCATGAAAATACCTCACTTTCAGTAAAGGCCAAAATTTCTTAATACATCATGTTATTCATTTATCTCTACAAATACACAGGCACACCCTGAGAAAGACTAGCAATATCTGTATATCAGATGTTCCTCAAACCAAGTAAGAAAGCACCCAACCCAAAAGTTCAATGCCACTTGTTTTCAATTCCAGGATTAATTTAAGGGGACTATGAAGAAACTAAACTGACAATATTCAGCACATASTGGCACTGGCAAGAGCTTGGCAAGGGAGCATTTGCACTTATWTTCATACCATACAACAGRGTAACCTACTCATAGAAAGTAACATTTRCTTACATAATGTGTTATTTTCCTTAGAAATAAACAGACTTGGGGGCCTAGCATCTCTTTAAAAGCTCTTTGCAAGGTAACAGAGCATCAGGTTACAGAGTCCATTCATATAATGTTTATAAGTTCTAGTGTTAATGCCACTAATGGTGCTCTGGTATAGAGTGCAAGACAGATCAATGTAAATCTTTTGATTGGTTTGTGAACAAAAAAAACCACTGGGCATAAGGCAAGGAAAGGACTACCTTCTGTAACATTTACATCAAGGGGAGAACAGGCCACGAAAGGAACTTTCTAGCCTCCTGTCTTTTTACAGCCCATGAGTTGGTGGGAGTTGGTAAAAGTAGCAAGAGGGGAAAAAAATTCGCAAAAGAGTAGTAAAATTTAACTGCCTATAAACCACCACTTTTSTCAAGTTTTAGGTCAGGCGCCATGATGCTGTGAGATTCTGCCCCACTGCAGCAGTTCAGTGTTTCCAAAGCACCTTGAAAGGGTTTACAAGGCTTTGAAATACAACCATTTTCACGCCGCCTATGGTGACTCCACTTAAATGCTTTCCCCTCTTGATGGCTTTTGGTGTTCCTGGCTTRTACTTCCAGCTGGATTAGAGAAGCCTATCCAAGCAAAAGTGTGGCCTACCTGCTGCAACAGCACTGGTCTGGAACTTGCTGATCTTACTTTTAATACTGGTTCTGTTACATTTCTACAGATAAAAGTTTGGCATTCATTCAATTTCTTGCTTCTACTTCAGCCTCTACCAGTATGTGTATTATTGACCATAGAGATACCGTGAGACTTTACCATTCCAAATTTTTCAAATTTTGGGATGGACAAAATAATA